AGCTCACAGCAACCTCAAACTCCTGGGCTGAAACAATCCTTCTCCCTCAGCCTCCCAAGTAGCTGGGACTACAGGCATGTGCCGCCATGCCCAGCTAATTTTTTTTTTCTATATATTTTTAGTTGTCCAGCTAATTTCTTTCTATTTTTAGTAGAGACCAGGTCTCGCTCTTGTTCAGGCTGTTCTCGTACTCCTGAGCTCAAATGATCCACCCGCCTCGGCCTCCCAGAGTGCTAGGATTATAAGTGTGAGCCACCACACCCAGCCCGCACACGTTGGCTGTTTCAAAAAAAAAGTCCATACAGGCATGGTTGCATTTCATAGTCATCTTTTCTGAGATAGATACGAAATTTCAGGGAGGGAATGGAAGGCTATCGTGTTCCTCTTTGGGGAGTCTTATTTTTAGGTAGGTAAGGGAGCTTCAGAGAACAGCCTTATCCTATGCTTTGGGAGAAACAGAGTGTTGAGGGGCAGAGGGGGGAAGGGTCAGGGTCAGAGAAACTTGAGACTGCTGCTTTAATTCAGCAAACGTGCCATATTTTGGAGTATCAGTTTCTGAGCCTCAACAATTCCAAAGATTTTAAGACTTGGATGCCAGAAAACAGGACAAAGACCAAATATATATTTCACCATATCACAGTTGGACAACCAGGAGATTTTTACTCCTTGAGACGAGGTACCATAAGATTCCAGATAAGTAAGGGTATTCCTTTCCTTTATAAAGTGGGAGAAAGGACTGTAGGTAAGGGAGAGGTAGGACTGGAGAGTGTTTTCTCAAGGCAAAGGAAAGAGTATGTTGAAATAAAGGAGAAAAAATAAGTAGGGCTGTATAATCAAACAGATGGGTGGCTTCTGGTCTCTGTCACTTGGGAGTTTGTGATACTGGGCAAAGGTAAGTCAACTCAAAAATTTATGAGTGTGATGCTTTTAAAGTGCTAGCTTCTCTATGTGCCAGCCTGGCACACAGAAGGTTCCCAATAAACTATAGTTATTACAATCTAGTAGAGTAGACCAATGTAGAAAATAATGTGAGAGTAATCTAACCCCACCAAACAAATATGATCTCTCTCCTGAGGGAGAGAATCCTTGTTGGATTTTGTCAACCTAAAGGGAAAAAAAGACTGAAGCAAACTTAATACCAGTAGAGAGTTTATTTGGGCCAAGTTTGAGGACTGCAATGTGGGAGCATAGATTCAAGTTGCCCTGAATATATGTTTTGATTAGAAGC